CTAATCTGTATTTGGATCTGCTTGGGTATTGATATAGAAACTGCTAGATAGAAAAGAAAAATGAACACATTAGATGAGTTAACAACAGAAAAATGCCTATAATATAGGTAGAAAATGTGTGATAGAAACTTAAAACATTGTGATGGATCATTGGTAAGAGAGGGTATCAGGGAACACTTTATAAAGGAATTAGATTTGAAGATGAATAAAATTTGTATTTCAAATAACAGGATGTGAGAAATTCCAGACCCAGTTTGGCCTGTAGGTAGGAGTAGCCATGGCTCATTTTAATAAAGGCAGCATTGCCTAAGAGTCAGAATCTGCAAGGAAATGGTAAGGCCACATGCATCCGTAAGGCACCTTTCTGCTTAAGTTCTCTTCCTTTTGCATCAACTAAAGTAAGAGAGTCATTCTTGAAATTTGGCTAGAAGGCTTCCATTTTTTGACCCTGCCCATAAGTGTAAATCTCATTAGCTTACAAAAAGAACATTACCAATAATTTTGAAGCCCCTGTATGCCCCTCTCCAATTGTATGCCCCTCTGTCTTCTCCAAGCTTAGCCACTCTTCTGAATTTTGTATTTATCATTCTTTTGCACTTAGTTGTGCTTTTAATATATGTGAATACATCCCCATATGATATTGTCAAGTTTTGTCTTTTCTTTAACTTTATGTAAATGGATCATGCTGTATATTCTTCTATGACATGCATTTTTCACTTAACTTTTTGTTTTTGTTCTCCACCTTCTTCTCCATTTTCCTACTCTTCTTCAGAGAAAAATTCTTTGAAAGAGAAGTCTATATTTACTATCTTCACTTCTTCCTGTTCCAGTTAGGCATTGATCCCCAATTCTACACTAAAACTGCCATTTTCAGAATCACCCATGACTTCCATATTGCCAAATTCACTTCTCAGTTCTTGTCTTTCTTGATCTGTCCAACATTTGACACAATTGATCATTTTCTCTTTCTTGAAACGCCTTCACCTGGCTTCCAGAACACTACTCTCTCTTGGTTCCCCTCCTCTGCCACTGTCCACCCCTTCTCAGTCTTCTCTACTGGTTCGTCCTCATTTTCCTAATCATTAAATACTGGGCTCAGGACTCAAAACTCTTTTCTATTTGTATCTATTCTCTAGGTCAGTGATTCTCAACCAGGAATAGTTCTCCACCCAAGGGTATTTGGAAATGTGTATAAGTTGGTGGGGGCAGGGGGGAGTTGGCTTTTTAAATGCCTGGAGTCTCCGCTGACATATGGTGGGATGCTAAATATCTTACAATGCACACAAAAGTTTTAAACAATTAAGAATATGTGTCCAGGGGCCAGCCCCGTGACTGAGTGGTTAAGTTCACACACTCCGCTTCGGCGGCCCATGTTTTCGCCAGTTCAGATCCTGGGCATGGACATGGCACCACTCATCAGGCCACGCTGAGGTGGCATCCCACATGCCACAACCAGAGGCACTCACAGGTAAAATATAAACTATGTATTGGGGGCTTTGGGGAGAAGAAGAAGGAGGCAAAAAAAAAGAAGATTGTCAACAGTTGGTAGCTGAGGTGCCAATCTTTAAAAAAAAAAAAAAGGTTCAACAATAACTACTAATAAAATAGAACAATTATGACAATATGCTATAATAAAAGTTACCATAGACCTTGGCAACCTCAGCATACAATTTTTTTCTTTCCTTATTAAGTCAAGAACTTTTACTTTTTCACTTAAAGGAAACACTTTAGGGCTTCTCTTGGCATGTCCTAATTGCCAGCATCACTACTCTTGCACTTGGGGCCATTATTAAGTAAAATAAGGGTTACTTGAACACAAGCACTGTGATACCACAATAGTCTACCTGGTAACCAAGAGGGCTACTAAGTGATGGGCAAGGAGCATTACAGTGAGGTTACACTGGACAAAGGGATGATTCATGTCCCAAATGGGACAGAGTGGGATGGCATGAGATTTCATCATGCTACTCAGAATTGCATGCAGTTTAAAACTTATGACTTTTTTATTTCTGGAATTTTCCATTTAATCTTTTTGGACCATGATTGATCACAGCTAACTGAAACTGTGGAAAGTGAAACGATGAATAAGGGGGGACCACTGTAGTGATTTACATTGGTTTCCTAATGTTAATGGAATCTTGATGAGTAAGATAAACCTCATATGGTCATACTGACTTTATACATTGTTGAATTTGATTTGCTAAAATTTTGTTTAGACTTTTTCCAACTATGTTCATGAGTGATACTGGTTTTTGTGTCTCTTGTATAGTGTGTGTCTAGTTTAGGTATCAAGATAACGCTGGCTTCATAGAATGAGTTGGGAAGTATTTCAACCTTTTAAGTACAAATTCAACTCCTTTAGTAAATATAGGCTGTTCAACTTTCTGTTTCTTGAGTGAGCTTTGGTAGTTTTTGTCCTTCAAGGACTTTGTATTGGCATAAAGTTGCTTATTACCTTTTTATTGCCTGTAGAAACTGGGCAAATGTCTCCTTTCTCATTCCTGATATTGGTAAATTGTGTCTTCTCTCTGATTAGTCTTGTCAGAGATTTATCAATTTTATCAATCTTCTCAAAGATCCAGCTTTTGTTTTCGTTGATTTTTCTCTGTCTTCTTCCTTGTTTCTACATCATTGATTTTCTTGATGGTTTTTATTATTTCTTTTCTTCTGTTTACTTAGGGTTTAATTTGCTCTCTTATTTCTAGCTTCTTAGGCAACAACTATGAATGTAACATATCCTTCTATGCAGTAATTGTAATTATTATAATGATGTTTTCTTCCAGTTCTAACATCTAGCAGTTCTTGATTGGTTTCAGTTGTGTGATTTTCCTTCTCATTATAGGTCATATTTTCCTGCTTATTGGAGAGCCTGATAATTTTTGACTGGGTGCTATACAGTGTGAATTTTACCATGTTGATTGGTGGATATTTTTGTATTCATGTAACTATTCTTGCTGTATGTTCTGGGACACAATCAGGTTAATTGGAAACAGTTTGATATGGCTTTTAGGATTTATTAGGTGTGAATGGAATGGTGTTCAGTCTAGTGCTGACTATTCCCCACGCTGACGTAAGATGCTTCTGTGCACTCTTTTCAATGCCCCTTGAACTATGAGGTTCAAATCTGACTGATAAGAACAGGCATTATTTTCAACACTGTGTGTGTGCTGGGCACTATTACCTTTAATCTTTTCAGCTGGTTCTTTCTCCAGCCTCCGGTAGCTTCCTCACATGCGTATGTTGGTCACTACTCATCTGAATACTCAAGGAAGACCTTCTACAGATCTCCAGAGTCCTCTCTCTGTGCCTCTCCCTCCTTTGAGCTTCTCTGTCCTGTGAACTCTAGCTGCTTTGGACTCCCTGAACTCTTAGTTCTTTGTTTTCAATTTAGGGTGCCTATCAGACTATGGCTGAGTCCCTCTTCCCTAAGTCAACTCTTCTCTTCGATCAGATCTCTGCTTAAGTGTCACCTCCTCAGAAAGACTTTCTTTGATTATGCTATCTACAGTGGTACAGCTCTCACTTTATTTTATTATTTATTTATCTCTTTATTGTCTGCCTGTTTTCACTATAATAAGCCCAATTCTGATCTTACATATCTATCTAGCAGAATTGTATGCTCATATGTGTCAAATAATATACACAAAAATGTTCATAATAGACCCATACTGGAAATAGCCCAAGTGTTTATCAGTTACTACATAGCAATGAAAATGAATAAACTACAGTACACACAGCAACATGGATGAATCCCAGAAATGTAATGTTGACAAAAGGAGTCAGATACAGAATATTTCTTGCTGTTGAAAAAGGCAAAACCGAACTATAATGTTAGAATTTGGAATAGCGGTTCCCTTTGGGGTATGGATTTTGCCTAGTAGGGGGGCCCAGGGTGGCCCTCTGAGATTCTTTTCCTTGAGCCAGATGGAGAAATTGATTGAATGAAGTTAGTTGTGTTATAGGTCAGATATTGTCTCCTCTGTAAAATCTTCCCCAGTTCTCTGGACAGAGTCAGTCACTCCTTCTCTGATGCAACATTAGACCAATTAGATTGTAATTATTACATTTTCCAAGGGAAAGGAGTCATCTTGTTTTTTTTAATTTAAGTATCTTGACTGACTGCCATATAGTAGATGCTCTGGAAACGTTTTCTGATAGAAGGGGTGAGCAAATGAAGCAACTTCTAATGAGCAAACGAGCCAAGGGCTTCTGGCTTCCAGTCCAGTGCCCTCTCCTTCAATGCTTGTTTCTAGTTGAGGTGAGAAAGATTATCTCATGTTGTGTCCAGAGAGCCACGGTTTGTTGGCCCCTGTTTGTCATGAGAGAAGAGAAGTGTCGAGGCATTTAGGTCACCTGGTGGTCTCAAACAGGCGGTACAGAGAGATTGGTGGGACTCCTGAGGCCTGGTAACCCTGCAGCTGAAGGAACAAGGACGACTCTGCCTCTGCTTATGAGTGGCTGCAGGGAATAGGGTGTGACTTGGCTTATTCATGGGCTTTGCCAAGAATATTTTCCCCACAAGTTTATGGAAGGAGCCAATAAAGTTATCTTTTACCATTAAAAATCTGTTTGCTTTGTAGGGGTTTTTTCCACACAAAAATTCTATTAAAGCAAGGTACTACAACTTAACACAGTGCTCTTTTTTCCTTTTAATTTTGAAAATTTCGATAAACGTCAACCTGGAAGGGGTAATAAGGATAAATAGAGCTTACAAAGCAAATTGTGTAGATCCTACGAACGAAAGTTCCTTCAAAGTTTGCTCTTCCTGGAAGTGCCTGGACCTCAGCAGTGATTTAGGTCAGTTCCAACTGATGAGTTTAGGTTTTTGTGCCAGGTTTTACTAAGGAACCCGGGATAGCATCTGTTCACTTTGAAAAGAATTCTGGCAGTTCAGCAGTGTCTTAAGGTTGTAAATGTATATTTTGATGAACACGTTTTTATTGGCACATATATTCTTTTCCTTTCTGCTGATACTGCTGTGAACATGTGTCTTTCTGCAGCTGTGGTGCTCCCATTCAAGTTTCCGAGGTGAAGCTGCTTTCCTTTTCATCAGGGCAACTAACTGTTTTCCTCCCTGCCGAGGTGAAGGCCATCGGGACAGAGAAGGATCGCGTCCTGCCTCTGCAAGAGCTGGCCATGAGGAGTCTGCATCACACCTACCACAGTTTCCTAAAGGGTACATAGGACTTTTCTTGTTTTTTTCTGCCCCTTATTCCGTGGACTTAGAAATTGTGTTTTATGCTGCCTATCTTGGTGTTCATTTTTTTTATTGTAGTAAAATGTACATAACATAAAATTTACCATTTTAACCATTTTTAAGGGTTCCGTTCAGTGGCATTAAGTACATTCACTGTTGTGCAATGGGACTTTTTTTTAATAAGGAAAAAATTTTTAATATTTTATCAACACTGATCCTTTCACCTCTCCCTACAGACACAGAGAAGCATTCATTAAAATATGGTCTTCAGTCACAAAGGACAGAGGTTAAAAGTTAAACTATGTGGTTTAAATGAAGGGAATTGGTGTTTGGCAACGTTTATTTGGTGGAAGTGAGAAGGCTGGCAGAGGCACTTTCTTCAGTAGGAAGAAATTCACCAAGATCTTATCCTTAAAGCAAAGTTGGATTCCTCTCTCAGCAGAGCAGGTTTGCCTTGCAGCCTCCTCGTGTCTGAGAAATGTATGTCCCCGAGGGGAAGCAGTATCAGGAGCTTTGGGCAGTATTCCCACAGCCTGCCAGCTCTTGGTTTGGAAAGGATTTGGTGGTGTGTAGATTTCATAGGTGTTGTGGAGTGAATATCTGAGATGCTTTAAGAAAGCACTAGGCAATATTAATAATAAAAATACATTTTAAGTGTTTTTAAAACTACTAAATGTTTTGTCTTTGCTTTAAAAAAAAAGTTGCATACAGAAATGTCTAACATTAACCTTCAAGGAATGTCTAGTACAAAGTTAAGTTTTTTAAAACTAAACAGAAAATTATAATTGTTCACCTATGAGTAAATTACGTTTTTCTAAATATTTATTGATAAGTCTGGATGGGTATCAAAGATGGTAAGTTAACTTGTATTTCCTTCCCAAAGATGAGTCAATGATTTTTAAGTTTCCCCTCCTTATGACCATTTGTCTCTCCACTGGATGTTTACCTTCAGTAGCAACCCAGTGTACGTTTGTGCTCAAGATTGCCTGGGCCCCTGGGATGTTTTGCTCTAAGTGTTTCTTTTGTGTAGCTCAGCTAAGCTGGGAAGGAAGCATCCTGTTTTTTATTAATGACAGCTCATGGGAGTGAGACCAGGAAAAGCTTGGTTTCATTATTTTTCATTTTCTTTTATTTCTTTGTTTTCCCTTTTCATTCTTTTCAGTAAATAGAAACTTTAGCCTGAGTGATACTAACCGCCCAATAGATTTAGAAAGAACTTAATGAAAGTCAGTTTTAGTCTTCTGTCCCAGCCAGTCCTTCTCTGTCTCTTTTAGAAGTTTACAAACCCTCTCTGGGTAAATTAATGCCTTTTTGATCTTTGCTCTTAAGTAATATTTGGTCTTATTCTTTCCTTCCTTTACCTCAGGACAGCTTCCCGTTATCCTTAAAAGAGTAGATTTGGGTTTTCTCTTACTATCAAAAATGTAAAAAACAGCTTTCTTTTCCAAATGGTTACATTTTTATTCACTGCCTATCGGATAACAGAATTTTCAACGTGCAGTACTTTTAACTAACTGAACTTACTTGGTAACAGAGAGAAATATTTTAAGAAGCCTAGTTTAAGGAAATATGATGTTTCATTCACGCATGATTTTCTCTTGTGTTCCAGATTTGAACTTTCTGTCTCCAATCTCCTTACCCAGAAGTCTCCTGGAGCTGCTGCACTGCCCCCTGGGGCACTGTCACCTGTGTAGCGAGCCCATGTTTACAATTGTCTACCCCAAGCTCTTTCCCATGAGAGAGACGCCGATGGCAGGGCTGCACCAGGGGTAATCATGCCGAAGTGGGCACGAGGGCTTACACAGGGCGGGGGGGGAGTACAGGGAGGGGCAGAGGACGTGCACGGAAGTCCTGTTAAGTCAGCAGCTGTAAAGGGACATAGAGTGCTTCCTGAGATACAGCTAATGAAACAAATGCACATTTTCAGCATCACAAGAAAAGTGGACTTCCCTATATTACTTTTTTGGTCATATACACAACAGTTTTATTGTATATATTATTTAGACTCCCTCATTCTTTGCAGGAGTGTTTTCCTGCTGTTCCCCTATTCACAATAGTCTTTAGGCAATAAGGAATGTAAGAACAAAATATTTGTTACATAATGGGACGAACCCAACCCTCTATTTAATTGGCGTTGCTAACTAAAAGTGTGTGGCTGGACTGTGTGTGTGTTTCTGTTTGGAATTTCTAACCCTTCCAAATGACGTTCTCTTGCCACTCTCTATTTCTTGGTGCAATGCCTTGAATTTGCTAAGAATGTTCACTAAGTAAAAACCACCATACTGGTAGTTTAAAAAAAGAATACGAGACAAAATTTAAAGTAGGACATCAAATGAAAAATCCCCCATTGGCACAACCTTAGCTTATAGATTTTCTAAATTTAGGATTTTCTAACTTCACATTTGTCAAAGTAGAAAAAAAGTACTATAATACCTTACTTATCCATCAACTGTGGTATTTTAGGTTAGTAAATTTTCCAGATAACTTGTTACCCCTCTTCAGTGCCAAGAAGCGTTTCCTTTGTAATCACATTTATAGAACAAGAGCTAGTGTGGGCAGGGCGCTGAGCCTCCCTGGGCTGCAGCAGGGGCTAGAGCAGCCTGCTGGGGGTGCCTGAGTGAGGATTAGCAGGCAATGGAGGCAAACACCTGGCACATAGCGGGTGCTCAACACTTGGTCGTTACATCTCCAACTCTCTACCCACTCCCTTCCAAAACTGCATTTATCTTTTTCTTACCCTGAATAATCCTATTTTGCTATACTTTCAGTTCCTGTTTCAACTTTCTATATTTTTAATGTTTCCTGCTTTACTGTGCCTGCTCACAGAAGCCCTCCTCCCAGCCTTTCTCATTTGCTGCTTCTAATCCTGTGTGATCAGATGAACACATTTAGCGGAATTCCATTTAAATGAGAGTTACAAGGACTGAGTCAGCGTCTGAGTGTATTACAACATGAATAAAATTAACAAATGAAATAGACACATTTATGAGAAGCAGTAGTGCATAGGGGTCAAGTGCACAGGCCCTGATTCTGACTCCTCCACTTGTAGACCTTGGGCAAATTACTAAACATCTCTGAGCTTCGTCTTTTCATCAATAAAATGAGCATAATAATATCTATTTAATAAGGTCATTGTGAGGATTAAATGAGACTATTCATGTAAAGAGCCCAGGATGGTGCCTGTCATGTAATAATATTTATGTTAAATCTATTTTTATAGCTCAGGGCTCTTTTTTTTTTTTTTTTGGTGAGAAAGATTGGCCCTGACCTAACATCTGTTGCCAGTCTTCCTCTATTTTGTATATGGGATGCCACCACAGCGGGGCTTGAGAAGTGGTGTGTAGGTCCACGCCTTGGATCCAAACTCAAGAACCCCAGGCCACTGAAGTGGAGCATGTGAATTTAACCACTATGCCACCAGGCCAGCCCTCAAAGCCTTTTTTAAATTTCTTCTTTTTGTGTATATTTTTAGCAAATAATCTTCATATTAGTGAGATATCATAGGAAAATCTTAACTAATTCATTAAACTATAGTAAAATCCTCATGCATTGTTATTATACAGTTTCCTATAGAAGACGTTTCCTTACTGAAAATATGAAAACGACAACAATTCAGTATAGTCAGGATGCTCTGTTAGTAGCTCATAAAATTCCAAATACCTATTTAAAAAGATAAACTTTCTTTTTATCATGGCAATTTCTGAAAATAAAGTAGATCTTTCAAATGAAGTCATTTTTGTGTTATCTTTGTACAAAATTTGGGGAACGTATTCAATATTTGCATTTACTGCAACTTATTTCTCTGCCACAACCTAGAAATTCAGTGTGAATAATCTTATTATTGTTTCAGAACATAAATATAAAAGTATTCATTCAATACATAGGACTTAAGCAATGTCTTTTTGTTGAGCAAAAGCCAGAAGTGGCTGTGTTTATAGCAAAGATGAAATGTCAAGATATAAACATGGCTTTCTGTGGGGAGTTAATGGTAGGGTCTGAAAATGAGAGTTTGTGGCTTTCATTTTGCCCACCAGACTTTGCTCCTTCCCGTGTTGCTATGGAGATTATATTAAAAGCATTGACTTCAGTTTCTACCATAGTCTTTAAAGTGCTTTCTTTTGTGACTGAAAACCAAATATTTGAATCTCAGCAGCTTATTGCTGAAAATAAAATTAACGTTTTTAATATCAGAAACTCTAAAAGGCCTGGATAATATTTTTAAGCTTTCTAATATATTCGATTTAGTTTACATTGCTTATCATAAAACAATACATTGTATCAGCCAATATCTAAATTAATGTGGACATCTGGCATTATTTTAAAAGAACATGTTGAATACTCTTCTAAAATACAAAGTTCCATACAAGTGTTAGTTCCAACCTAAATTTCATACAGAGTGAGGTAAAAAGAAATTACAGTATTTTGCATAAACAATAAATACCCAAACCTTCAAATATCTGTGGCAGAGAAGAATGGCTAGTATATTCATGACTTTTACACATTATAGGCAGAGCAAGTTTTCCTTCCCAAAACTTATTGTTCATTTATTAAAACAGAGAACATTAACCTGGAGGATTACTTATTAGTGTGACAGTATGTGTCTGGCTTGTCTCCCAAGTTCCACATTTCCCTGGTTCTATGAACTGGGCTACCCAAGGTTTTTCAGGGATGTTGTCTTCGTTTGCTAGGCATGCTGCAACAAAATACCACAAAACTGGGGCCTTAAACAACAGAAATCTGCTGTCTCACAGCTCTGAGGCTGGGAGTCTGAAATCAAGATGTTGGCAGCATTGGTTTTTCTGAGGGCTGGGAGGGAGAGTCTGTCCAGGCCCGTCTCCTTGTCTTGTAGGTGGCCACCTTTTTCCTTCATCTCTTCACACCATCTTCTCTCTGTGTGTGTCTGTCTCTGTGTCCAAATTTCCCCTCCTTATAAGGACACCAGTGATATTGCGTTATGGCCGTAATGACCTCTTCCTAACTTAACTGATTTCACCTGCAATGGTCCTGTTTCCAAAGAAGATCACTCTATCACTCTATTACTCTGCTCTGGCCTCCATAATAAGATGCTGTAGAGTGGGCGGCTTAAACAGCAGAAATTTATTTTCTCACAGTTCTGAAACGTGAAGTTTGAAATCAGGGTTGCTCATGCTCAGTTCGTGGTGAGGGCTCTTCCTGGTTTGAAGATGGCTGCCTTCTTGCTGCCTCACATGGCAGAGAGAACATGAGCACACTCGACCACAAGTTCTCTCGTGTCTCTTCTTACAGGGACGCTCATCCCATCATACAGGCCCCATCCCCATGACCTCATCTAAACCTGATTATCTCCCAGAGGCTCATCTCCAAGTACCACCACATTGGAGGTTAGGACGTCAACGTATGAATTTAGGGGGATATACTTCAACCTGTAACCATCTGCCCTCTGGCTCCAAAAATTCGTGTCCTTCTCACATGCAAAATAAATTCACCCCATCCCAACACCTCAAAAATCCTAACTCATTCCAGCATCAACTCATGAGGTCAAAACCTCATCTTAAATATCATTTAAATCAGGTATGGGTAAAACCTCAGTATAATTCGTCCTAGGGCAAAACTCCTCTCCAGCTGTGATTCTATAAAACCAGACCACTTCCCTGCATTCAGTATATAATCCCATTAGATTTTAATATTTGAGAATAATCCTCTTTGGCTAGATGCTCTGTCCTGTAGGCCCACGGGGGTGGTGGCCCCACCCCTTCAGCCCTGGGTGGGGCTCTGCCCTCTAAAACCAAGGAAGTTGCCTCCCTAGAATTGAGGAGGTGGCCTCATCTCCCAGGTCATTCTTCCCTTTTCTTGATGGTTCTATTGCCCATTTCCTACCTGCAGAATCCCCAGAAGCCGACAGCTTTTCCTGATCATGTCCCAACTCTGTCCCCTTCAGTCCGAGCTGACAAGGCTTCTGCTGAAATCGTGGATTGGTCCACAAGTCACACGCCTACTATGTTTATGAATGATTATCCAGCCACACCCTTGGTTACTCTCCAGAGCATGTTTTCTCATTTTTTACAATATGGATAGGCTGAGAAATTTCCCGTTCTTCAAGTTCAGATTCCTTCTTGCCTACCGAGCCCCTCAATTTATCTTCCTCCTCTCAACATTTTACTGTAAGCGGCAAGGAGAAATCAGACCATACCTTCAACACTCTCCTCAGCTGAATACCCGGGGTCAGCCTTACGAGTTCTACTTTCCATCCCGCGGAACACACTTTGGTCAAGTCTTCCGTGCTTTATACAAGGATTATCTTTCTTCCAGTTTCCAATAACACGATCCTCATTTTTGTCTGAGACCTCACCAGAAACACCTTTAATATTCGTATTTCTAGCAACCTTCTCCTCATGACAGTATGTGTTGTCTGAGACAAGAGAAGCTTTTTCGATAACTCTCTTCTTTCCTTTGTGAGCCCTCACCAGATCTCCTCTAATGTCTGTAATTCAGCCAGCAGTGTCTTCAAGGCAATCTAGGCTTTTTCTGCCGTCCACCTCAGAGCTCTTGTAGCCCCTACCCATTAGCCAATTTCAAAGCCACTTCTAGATTTTTAAGTGTTTGTTACAGCAGCATCTCACTTCCCAGTAGCTGAATCTGTATTACTTAGGGTTCTCCAGAGAAACAGAACTTATATGTATAAGTATAGGTAGAGAGGGACTGGTGGATTTTAAGGATTTAGCTCACGTGATTGTGAGAGCTAGCAAGTCCAGAGCCGTAGGCAGACTGGCAGGCTGGAAATTCAGAAAAG